GCTACTGCCTCAACTTTTCAAACTGAACAAGGAGAGATGAAACCCTGACTCAGAGGAGAGGAAATCATGGACTATGTAACCAAAATTCCAGGAAAAAAAATCTCAGTTCTATCTTGAAGACCCAAGTAAGGGGTCTCCTATGCAAAGCATGAGGACCACAACCTTGAGTTTGGTCTCTTTTTCCTCACCCAGCCTAGCCTGAAGGCCATCTAGCCTCAGATCTGCACTGCCACAGGGCCCTGACCAGAGCCAGAAATCGAATTAAGGGCTGAGGTATCAGTCAACACCAAGCCCTGGGTTCAAGCCTCCACATAATGAAACAAAAACAATATTAACAACAACAAAAACACACGCAAACTCAAGTCCAGATTACTTATCGACTGGTGAATTCTACCAAACTGTTACAAACTAAATTGTGTTACTACAAAATTCAAACTGTCTCAGTACTGAAACTGTACTTATAGCCGGGTCACTAGCTGCAAGGTTAAATGAAGCTACCATTTGTGTCAAACACCATAAGTAATATCTATTGGGCTCATTTCTTGGAGAAAAACACTAATTGAGTATTTGTACAAGCCAACAGTAGCTATTAGTTTGAAGGGTGCATAGGAACTGGGTGAAGGGTATCATGTCAGATGTAGGAGAGAAACTCTACTGGCTGCATTTTTATACTTTCAGTTCAACTCACATTAAAATAAAAAAGCTCCTGAGCCAACCATGGTGGGGCTCACAGCTGTCATCCCAGCTATTCAGGATAGCAGGTAGATCATGATTCTAGGTCAGCCTTAAGTAAAAAGTTAGCAAGGTCTTCATCTCAATAAACAAGTCAGGTAGGGGTTGGTGTATACTTGCCACTTTAGCTACTCAGAAAGTATAGGTAGCTCCTGGGCCCTGAGTTAAGCCCCAGTACTGGCACAAAAGGAAAGTAATAATTCCCAATGACCCATTGGCACTGAGGATAAACCTGAGAGTTTATAAAGTACTTCCAATACCCCTCTGAGGGGCACACCCAAGATCATTTCCCAGGAAACAGCCGGCCCTAATCATCCGTTGGGAAATTTCACACTCCCTGGAAGGCAGCTCTGGGAAGGACTGCTCTCTTTTAGAAGCCACTTCCTAACTCCAAACAAGGAAAAAAGAGACCTTGAGGGCAGCCTGACCTTCACAGATTTTATTTCTACCCTCATGACATTTTATCACGGTGACGTAAGTAGGGGTCAGGCTAGGTTTTGGTCCTTGGGGGACAGAGTTAGCAGAGAGAGAGAGTTGCAAAAATAGGCAACTTCTGTTTTGACTGTTACACTCACACAGCAGGAGCAAGAAAAGGAAGAAAAAAATGTCGTTGGCTGGAGTGGAGAGAGGCCTGCCAGCAGATGCTCCCGCATGCCAGAGACATCCCCACACCAAACCAAACCAGAGAGACACTGAACTCACTCAGTTGCCCTCCTGATTGCTTGGTGACTCATGAAGCTGTTAGCTAAGGGGTGAGCTAGGACAATGAGGGGCACCGGAAAAGCAGCAGAGGTGTGGGAGGATGGAATGGAAGGGCATCCTAGGAGTGGAGCACTAGAAGTTCCTCCAAATAAGATTTTCCTCTTGCTCCATTCCTTACCCTCCCGATCTATTCCAGAGAACCTGATTCACAAGCCCTCCCAGATAAACTAAGAACTACATCAAGTACGGAAAACCACAAAGCACCATAAGCATCTGTAGGATTTGAATCTAAGACCTAGTACAGGAGGCCATAGCCTTTCAAAAACTGCTCTCAGAGTCTGTGAGGATTAGTATGTCCCAATTCACAATAACCTTCTAACACCCACTTCTGCCGAAATTTTTTTTTTTAATGACCTGATAGGGCATGGTGGTGCATGCCTGTAATCCCAGCACTAGAGAAGCTGAGGCAGGAAGATCTCAAGTTTGAGGCCAGCATGGGCTACACAGGGAAATAATGTCTTATAAAGTCAAGGCAGCAGGAGGGGAAGGAAACCTGAACATCAATTCTGTCACTGAAGGAAAATATAGAATGTTCCTGACATTACCTGGTATTCTTATCTGATATAAGACAAACAACCTGAAACCATGTAACTTGAGGATTTGTGTGGGGCTGGGAAAGATGGGGGGAGAACAATGGAAAGGGTGATGTATTTATAAACTGACTTGTTGAATTGAAGCCCCTCTGCACAACTACTTTTTTTTGGGGGGTCCAGTCGTGGGGCCTGAACTCTGGGCTTGGGCGCTGTCCCTCAGCTCTTCACCTCAAGGCTAGCGCTCTACCACTTGAGCCACAGCGCCACTTCCGGCTTTTTTTCTTTTTGCTTATGTGATGCTGAGGAATCGAACCCAGGGCCTCAGGCATGCAAGACAAGCGCTCTACCACTGAGCCACCTTCCCAGCCCTGTACAACTACTTAAAGACAAATTTTAATAAAGGACAACCTGAAGCTTATTTTCTCACAGAAAGACATGTGTTTTAGCTTTTGTTTAAGAAAGAATCACATAATTGTCAAATCTACAACTGTCTCAATCATTTCAAACTCTGAAAAATATATAGCAAGGGAGGATCTCTCTCTCACACACACACACACACACACACACACACACACACACACTTCTATTTCAGTTTATTTTTTCAAAACAGGGTCTCGCAGCGTCGCTCAGGCTAGCCTTGGACTTGAGATCCTCCTGTCTCAGCCTCTTGAGGGCTGGAACTACAGGCATGTGCCAACTCCTAGCCTAGCACAAAATTCTGAAAGTAAATTCATTTTTAGTTTCCAGTTAAGTTTTATAATAATGAGCCAATTTCACTTACCTCTGATGTGTTTATACTTAAAATAGGCCAGGAGAAAACTGGAATAGAGCAAGCAGTCCAGAAAAAGTTTAGGATGTCTCAGATGGGACTTCTAAATGCCACTACTCAGCATCAGAGTACCCAGGAGAAATTCTTTCCTGCTCCTCTAGTTCTAACTCTTCCTCCAGCACCCCTATATTTCGTTATCTAAAAGGCCAGGGTGACTAACAGGAAAAGACAAAGGAATTGTCTTCAAAATCAACATCTGATCAGCAGAAAAGATCTACTCCTACTGCTCACTGAACCAATTCTCTACGGTCCTATTGTGCTATGCTTCTTGCTCAACTGCTGGAAAAATTGAATTCCAAAGCAATGTTAACAGCTTCATTATGTGATCATAGGGCTAATAAAATTATGTAGCTGAAGAGTTTGGGGGCTAAGCTCTTTCCAAGTATTTTTAGAATAATATGTGATCCCTTGGCATAAATTATTGTTTTATCAAGGATTTGCTTATAGAAGCAAAGTTCTCACAAAATGAGCCAGACCAAAAAAAGAAAAAAAGGAGCATCACAGGTTCAAGGCTAGCTTGGGCTATGTAGTAAGACTCATCGCAAACTAACAACAACAAAAAAAGGATTACTGGTAAAACAGGTGCTCAGAACCAGGTTGGGAGGGGAAATGCCAAACAAGCTTTTCTAAAATTCTGTCCAAGTGTGAAGGAGGGTTTAGAGGATGCTAGATTTCTGTGAACAGTGTGGAACTAAGAGAAGCCACTGTAAATCATGTGAAGGAGGACAGATCACACAAGTAGCATGCAGAGGTCCCTGGGGGTCAAGGAGGTTTGAAAGTATGAGAGCAACTGCCTGACAAGAGGCTAAACCACCAGTTACTTCCCTTATACCCTTCATGCATGGGTGGGAAGAAAGGAGCCAGACAAGGTCCAGGTTAATTCCTTAACAGTTCCAGGGATGGGGAATCTGTTTTCTGCCAAGGCCATTAGAATATTATAACAGCATTTGATGGTCACACAAAATTATCAATACAAGTCCAGCACCAGGGGTTCATGCCTGTCATCCTAGCTACTCAGGAGCCTCAGACCTGGTGGATCACAGTTTCCAAGCCAAGAGACTCCATCTCCAATTAGCCAGCAAAAAGCTAGAATGGAGGCAGGGTTCAAGAGGTAGAACACCACCTGTGAGCAAGAAAGCTGAGTGAGAACTTGAGTCCAAGTCCAATCCCACCATCCCAGCCCCCAAACACACACACTAACTATATTGGCAGACAGACCATGGGAAACTGATAAGAATATGTGTCTGTACCATCTCCTCTCAAACGATGCCTCAGGCCTTATCTAGCCTGTGAGTCAGATGTTCTCATCCCTACAAGAAGGTCCCTATGTTTGAAACACATCAGAACTTTTTCCCACATGGCCTTAAAAGCATTTTTGATGAAGGATGGGTGAATGATGGCATGGGCCACCACCCCCATAGGCCAACAGCAGTTTGATCGGCCATTTTTAGGAAAGTGGCAACCTTCCAAAAAAAATAGCCCAAGATCCCCTTGCCTCAGCCTCCCAAGTGTCTGGGATTATAAGCATTCATCACCACACCTAGTCCATATTTACATTTTTCATATATAGAATCCATATAGCATCAGCCCTATCAGCTGGATGCTACTTCTGTTTCTGGAGAAGAGGTAACTGAGGCAGAGGGTAACAACTGTTATCTCTTGTTTCCATACTTTCTGAAGAACTCCTTTATCAGAGGAGAAAACCCTTTAAATCCAAAGTTTAAGAACAGTGTGTTTTTCGGCAGTGCGGGGGAGGAGGGAAGTGGATGGTGTATGTGCCAGTACTAGGCCTAGAACCCAGAACCTCTCATATGGCTTTTTGACTCAAGGCTTATGCTCTGCCACTGGACCCATGCCTTACTCCTGGTGTTTTTCTGGCTAATTAAAGAGTCTCATGGACTTCACTGCCCAGGCTGGCTTTGAACCTCAATCCTCAGATCTCAGCCTCAAGAGTAGCTAGGATTATAGGCATGAACCATCAGTGCCCAGCATGACTTATGTTTTTAAACAGCTGGACATGGGACAAGATAAATGTTTTGGCCTGGGCCTTTAAAAGAGTACTGTTAACTGTGTGGGTCACCAAATTCCTATACGATGTAGCTTTTTTTTTTTTTGCCACCATACAAGGCCCAAGCAATCCTTACCCTGTTGTCTTCCTGGATCTCCCAGTCGCTGGAGAAAGTCGCCAGCTGCTGCCCTTGGGAGCAATTAGCAAACTGGAAAAGACTGGAAAACATCCTTCTGTTCTCTTGCGTATCTGGAAAGATGGCATCTTGGAAATTGACTCCATGAGGCAAGAGGTTATAATTTTCATCCATTCTAGTCAGGAAAGAAGAAGAAAAAATGTAGAGTAGACCACAAGGGGTGGACAGGCATCAACAAAGTCATAGAGGAAGGGATGGCCTTTTCAATTTCATGGCAGAAGTTTCCACAGCTATTCGTAAAGACTGAATCTGGACAGAAAAGGGAAGGTGTGTGCACATTCCTGTCTGTGTGTGTCTTCTAAGTCCTTCACGGCTTCTCTTCCCCTAGTGCTCCTTGCTTCCTAGTGAGAGAAAGGACAGTTCCTGGGTTCGAGTCCTATCATGGCTTCATCTTGTGTTACCAATTTCTTCTCTAAGACTCAGTCTGTCAATCTGTTCAGTAGAGTAGTACCTACTAACTTGGTAGTATCATACAGATTGCATTGGAAAATTCAGTAAGTAAAGCACTTGGCACATGCGAGCAGTATGACTATTAATGGTGTGGATATTACTGAACCTTTTTATAGAGCCCAGTATCAATCACATACCAAAAAGACCAAGAAGTCTTGGTCTTTGGGGAAAGAATTACAATCTAGGCTAAAGTGGGTGTGGTCAAGCCACTCCCCCCACCTACTCCCCCCCACCCACACACACCCTCTGACCAAATCTGTTCTCATCCTGTGGATCCAGCATCAACAAAGGAGGAATGACTTGTATGCATTTGCTAACTTACTTCAGGGCAAGACAGCCCTGTGTAATAACTGTCAGTCTGCTGTGCAAGTCTGTATGTCTGCACTAACTTTTTGTAAATATATTAAGAGCAAAACATGTGATTGCTGGCTGGCCTCCACAAAGCCATGGGACAAAACTGGATTTCATAATTTAAAAAAAAAAGGAAAAACCAATGTGTGCGCTAGTAGTTTGAATTTTTTCCTTTGGAAAATAAAGTGGTTTTGAATAGTTTTATAGCTAGGTTCTCAGAATTTTTCCTAAATAATAACATGAAAAAAATCAGAGTTAAGTTTCACAGAATCAACGCAATCTCTCAGTTCTGGCTGACTTCATTTGGAAACTATACTTTTTAAACAACAAAAAGGGGTGGGGGGAGAGAGACAACCTAATCTAGCGCAAGCACTTAAGCCAACACAAAGCAGGTCGTGTATTCTCAACTTAGATATTCTGACTCCAAGATGGAAAACATTGCCACGAGTTTACAACCACCCCTCTGTGGAACTGTTTACTTTCTCAGAGCTGAAATGAATCTGCAGCCCCAGGGCAGTCGTACCCAAAAGCATGTCATGGATTGGGGAGACCAGAATGATTACTGATTATAATCGCTTTGGATTAATGTATTCACTATCTGATGTGGGTCCGCTTCCATCCATTTTGATATCTTCTTGAAATCTATTTTTGCAGTCTGGGGGACTGGACCCAGGGTCTCATTCACACATGCTAGGCAAGCACACTCCTCCTGAGCCACACCTCTAATCCTTTTGTTGGGGCAGAATCTATCTTTGCTTCAACCCCATCCTTCCACTTTCCCTTCCTGAGTAGCTGGGGTTATAGACATGCTTCACAGTGCCTGGCTCTCTATCACTCTTAATTGGAAACATCTTACACACACAGTTAGGGTTCTACCTGCCCAACTCTTTCAACTTTGGGAAGAATTCAGTAGTCAATAAGAACTGTTTGCACTCTTGAGCAGATGCCTTCCATCTTGACAACAAACCAGTTTCACAGAACTTCCCAACACTGATGCTGGCTAGAGTCAACGAGTTCCACCTGCCTGATCAACCCATCAAAACACTGTGGAGGAGGGTTAGAGCCTCAGCTGGCCTCTATAAACTTTGCTAGCTTGAATAACCCGACATGAACAGGTGAAAAGGGACAGTTGGTTGTAATGCTGACTCAGGTGGGAGAGAAACACCAGGTATTAACCCGTCTTCCTTGTGAGGGGAGACTCTGACAAGCAACTGGCTCAAAAATCACACTTCAGAGTTGAGGACTATAATCTTAATTATTCAGGAGACTGAGATCTGAGGATCCTGATTGGAAGCCAGCCAGGACAGGAAAATCCCTGAGACTCTTATCTCCAATTAACCACCCAAAAGCCAGAAGTGGGGCTTTGGCTCAAGTGGTAGAGTGCCAGACCTCAGAAAAAAAAAAGTGCCAGGCTCTGAGTACATACATACATACATACATACACACAGACACACACAGACACCACAATCACACTTAGGAAGAACTAGCCACAACCCCAATGACCCATTTCAAAGATGGTCCTACTCTGCGCTCGCCAGCGGGACTGTTGGAAATCACACCCTTGGGGGGGGGGCGGGTGTTACAGGACCCCCGAAGAAACCACCCCTGTGTTTTAACCAGCTTTATTCAGCCAGGGCGGGTCAGGATCTCCTCTGAGCAAGCAGGAAAAGAACGCAGCTTCACAGGGCGCGGGAGCCTAGGGCATATGCTAGCTTGGCCCGCGGCCCGAGGCGGGGGGGTCGGGGAGCCTCCGGAGTGCCCGGCTCCGGGACGGGGCCGGAGAGGTGAGGCCCACCGGGCTCACCTGAGGAAGAAGAAGTAGGCGTAGTCCTGCACCACGGTGTGCGAGTGGCAGGCGAAGTAGCCCAGGCCGCTGAGGTTGAGCCTGGAGCCGGCGGGCACCTCCAGCATGCTGCCCCACGCCTGGTCGCACAGCATCTCCACCTCGGCCGAGTAGAAGAGGCCGTCCTGGCCGGCGTGGTCCTGCCAGGGCAGGTGGTTGTAGAGGCCGGGCACGTCGGGGTGCAGCGCCAGCACTTTGGCGTACACGATGATCTCGGCCAGCTCGGCGCGGCAGCCCTCGCTCAGGGGTCTCCGGGCAGCTGGCAGGCGCGCGCGGGCGCGGGGCGCGCGGCCAGGCAGAGCGCGGCCAGCAGCAGCGGGCGCAGCGGGCGCGGCGGGCGCGGCATGCCGGCGGCGGCGGGCGCTAGCCGGGGTGCATGGCCCGAGCTCTCCCGGGAGGGGCGCGGGGAGCGCCAGGGCCGCCCAGGCACCGCTCTCACCGTCAGCGCCCGGCCCGCGCCACGCATTAAAACAGGTCTCCTGGGGCCCCCACGGGGTGGGGTGGGGATCGGCGCCCGCCCCCCTCGCTCTGCCCCCTCTCCCCCGCGATGGGGGCGTGGGGAGGGCGGGCAGTCGGCGGCTCCGCGCGCCGCTGTCCTAGGGCTCCGGGTCCCTGGCCAGGACCCCGCGCCTACCCACCCCGGCCCCAGGGACGCCCCCGCCGGGCCGGCGTGCAGCCCGGCCTAGCGCCCGGGGCCACAGTTTACCAGGTGTACCGCGACCCTGAAAACGCGGACACACTAAATATCCCGCTCTTCATTTGATTATTCTGGGAGACTCGGTTTTCTAGAGCCAGAATACACTACATAGAAATCAGATTGACTTTCTCTTCCAGAGAAAGAGGGATTCTGTCTCTCTCTCTCTCTCTCTCTCTCTCTCTCTCTCTCTCTCTCCCCATCTCCCTCTCCTTCCTGTCCCTCTCACTCTCCTAATAAACTTCAGAAAGTCCTTTCTTCTCTTCTCTCTTTCTCCTATTGAACTTCTTCAGGAACTTCCCCCCTCTAATGAACTTCAGAAAGCCCTAATAAAGATTGGGGGGGGGGAAGCCACCTTGTCATGACCTTTTTAAAGTGAAATGACCTACAAACATTCAAACTTCCAGATTTCCTAAACCTGGGATACAAATTCAGCAGTCAACTCAAAACAGCTTTTCACCAGTTAATGTCCACCGATTCAATGAGGCCCAAACCAAAGAGTGTCCCCACTTCCTGGGCGCCTGTTTCACTCCTGGTGTTCGGAGAACAAACAAGAGTGTTTGCAGGTTTGAGCTCAACTTCACACTTGCAGGCAAGCACACATTCCAGACCCTATGGGTTTTCAGCTTTTTCTCTGCCAATTTTGGATGGCAACACTAGTAGGTGGGTCTCCAAAACAGCACCAAGTATGCATCACCATGCATCGGGAACACGTATATGGTCATATATTCTTACAATAAGTATATAAGCAAGACTACTGGAAAGTAAGAGGTGGTTCTGAAAAGCATTGTTTTTGATTTGGATTCTGAAAAGTTTGTGCCCTTGGAACTCAGCTAGATTGTTCCATGACCTGCCCAGTAGAGGGTTTCTGGGAAAATCTGCACTGAGACTCACCGCCCTAGGAGCCCGGAGTCTTCTTCCTAGGAGTCCTGACACTTTAGTTAGAAGGATTGAATTTGTGAACGTGTACTGTAGGCCCTGGCTTTGAAAGGCATCTCTGCAACAGAAAGCCAGTCTCCACTGAAGGAGTCTAGAGAAATGGGAGGGAGGGTTCTTGTGTCTTGGATGGAAAGGTCATGTGACCCTTGAGGGCTTCAGCTGACCTGAGGGTCACAAGAGCCTAGACTCTAGTGACTCAATCAGGAATTGTTCTGGAAACCTCTGTAATGGACTGGAAAGCCCAAGGAAGGAAGGATCAGAATCTCCTTCAGGGCAAAGAATCCTGCGTAGTCAGGCATTGAGACAAGTTTCACTATGTAGCCCATGGTGACCTCAACCTCTCCATCATCTTCCTGCCTCAGCTTCCTGAGTGCTGGGATTACAGGCATATGCCAACACACTCTGCAGGCCCTCAACATGTTTTGAAGGATTTAAAATAGTTGTCAAAATCATTTCCAGGGCATCAGAGCCAAGCATCTCTGACTCCTGCCTATGGTCTGCCAGGGAAGACACCAGGCTTTCACACAATATTTAAGTTCTGAATGTCTAAATGTATGAGATATTTAATCATAGTTTAATATTTGTGCATTTGCATAATTTAATATTTAAGTTTTGTGTTTGAATATTTGAATTATGAGAGTTCATGAAGTTATATGAGTATGCCATAACAAAATAACATATGCTGAGTGCATTAAACAATAGATGCTTGCTTCTCTTGGTTCTGGAGATGAGAAGTTCAAGGTCAAGCTGAGGCCTGTCTTCCTGGTTTATAGGGGACAGAATTCTTGGGTCCTCTGACAAGAGACAGCCCACCCCCTTGTACCCTTTGTAGGGGCTGAGGAAGAGGGAGTCAGACTTAGATCCACAACAGTTACTTAACAGTTATTCTACAGGTTTACTAAAAAAAGAGGAAAGGGTATAAAATGTTGATATGCCTTGCAAGCTGACTTTGAGCAACCATTGCCAAATTGTAATATGAACAATTGCCAATGTTTATTTATCATTTACTATGGACCAAATAGTGTTGTAAGGACTTTCCATATGTTAGCCTAATTAAGTCTCCAAACAACATTCTACTATGGACTTCATTTGACAGAGAAGTTAGCTTAAGCATGGAGAAGTTAACCGATTTTCCTCTAATCACAGAGCTTGAAATTGAGTCAGGATCCAAACCCCAACATTCAGGCTCTGGGGTCCATACACCAAACTACAGCACTAGATGATGCAGGAAAATAGGAAATATCTTAAAGGTGCAAGTTGGTTCCTTTGTTTAAGAGGTATCTAGGGTACATTTTAGTTCAAGTTATGGTTTAGAATAGGCAATGTCTAGATAGGCTTGTGTGTAGGGCACTTGACCCATAGCTGGGGCCCAGCCAAAAGAAACAGGCCACTGGGAGCATGTCCTTGGGGCTGTATCTTGTTCCAGGGCCCCTTTCTCACTTACCATGAAGTGAATGGTTCCCTCAACCACACATACCCACTATCACCATAACATGCTGCCTCAACACAGGCATGAAATAAACACAGCCACTAATTCTTCCTTGTGTGCATTGGTCACAGCTACGCAAATGTAGCTAATACAGTTAGGAAGAACCTTAGCTTCATACCAGGGCTGGCCAATGAGTACAGAGCTGAACTGACATCAATTCTCTACTGATGTCTACTCAAATACCCTGTTCTATTTCAGTCCTGTGTTACAACTTATGCGGACAAGATAGTTAACAAAGTTTTTGTTTTTAATTGCATCTTGAGGAGCCTCAGAAGCCTGGAAAAGATTTGTTTAGTTCTGCAGACTTTTCTTTCCATTTACACAAGCAAATAAATAAATAAATATAAAGTAGTACACATAGCTGTTTTCTCTCTTCTTGTCTAAAGTTGACAGAGTTGACTCAAAACACTTCTACTACTGCCCAGAGTGCATTTTCCAGACAATACCCATCTCCTGGATTCTTCAGGCACATCAGCTACATTTTTCATCTGCATTTCAGATTTTTTAAAATGACCTAGTGTTGGCATTGACAAGTACCTCATAGAAAGGCATGGTTCTGACTGGTGCTGGTGGCTCACAGCTATAATCCTTGCTACTTAGAAGGCTTCAGATCTGAGGAGCGTAGTTCAAAGCCAGCCCAGGTAGACAAATTCCCAAGACTCTCCAATTAACCAGCAAGAAGCTAAAAGTGGAGATGTTGCTCAAGTGGTAGATCATTAGCCTTGCACAAAAAAAGCTAAGAAAGAGCATAAGGCTCTGAGTTCAAGGCCTAGCACTAGCACAAGGAGGAAGAGAAGGGGAGGGGGGAGGAAGAAGGAAGAAGAGGAAGAGGAGGAGGAGTCACATGGTTTTTGTGAGCCTTGAGGCAGGGAGTAGGCCTATGTCATCAAAATTGTCACAGCCTTCCTCATAGTTGGCCCAATGGAAATGGGGTGATAGTTGATTCTGAACTGAGATGAAATTCTAAAAATAACTGTGTGAAGTCCAACAAACCACATGTCCAATATCTGCTTATTCAAGTATTTGGATACCAAATAGAAATAGTAGGCATACCCTGAGAAATTCTGCACTTGGTAGTCAGCACACAAGCATCACTGATGTTTCAAAAAATGGGCTTCAACAATCACCTTTCAGTTACCATGTGTGGAGTGTTATTCCAGGCACTGGTGTTCCATCAAGGAGTTCCTACTGTATACAGCCATCACTAATCAAAGTGGTGCAATGGATCAGGTAGGAGACCCAAACTAGACTTTGAAGACATAATCTTTACAAGGAAAGACTACATAAAAAAAATCTTACCAACAGCCTCTGAAACACCTTCATTTAAATGTCCAGATAAATACAAAAGCTAAACAAGCCAGGGTCTTAGGTGAGTCTAGAAGAAGCTGGTCCTGCCAGGTGCTGGTGGCTCATACCTGTAATCCTAGCTACTTAGGAGGCTGAGATCTGAGCAATTCAAAGCCAGCCCAGGCAGGAAAGTCTGAGATTCTTATCTCCAATTAACCACCAAAAAGCTGGAAGTAAAGCTGTGGCTCAAAGAGCCAGCTAGCTTTGAACAGAAAAGTTCAGGGATAGTGGCTAGGCCCAGAGTTCAAGCCCTAACCAGAACTGTAACAGAGAGAGAGAGAGAGAGAGAGAGAGAGACAGAGAGAGACAGAGACAGAGACAGAGACAGAGAGAGGCTGAAACTTTCCCCTGATAAGTTAGAGCATACCAAACCCTTAAACTGAGAACAAGCAGTCTCTTTGTCCTCCCTTTTGCATCTCTGTGCTTAGAGTGAAACGGAAGAAGAAAGGCAGTTACAGAAGGCTGTAGAGAGGAAGGTGTGGGTATTATAAAGCTGCTTGGCTTCTATACGACAGTGTCCACAGGGCATCATCAGAAGTGGAGTCTTGTCATAGGAAATGGAGTCTGGTCATAGGAAATAGAGTCTTGTCATAGGAAGTGGGTCTTGTCATTGTGAAGTGGCCTTTTCTGGGGAAAGGGCAGAGGCCCTAGCCAGAGGAAGACACAGCAAAGTTCTAAAAAGGGGAGTCTTTCCTCTGAAGGAAAGCCCCCAGCTGAGCCTATCAGTAGATCATAATTATACAAGTTATGCATCCTACTTCAATGTTCTCCTCTGATGAACTGCCTGCATTTCAGAGCATCACAGCCTGCTCAGAGAATGTATAAGGCTGGTAGAAAAAAAATAGCATGCCTGGGAAAATTTACAAAGACTGCAAACATACATACCATGGCTTCGATGTTTTGGCCAGCTGCAGCTGCAGGGAAGATGTCAAGACCCACCGAGGGGGTTCCTAGGGGGAAGAGCTTCCCATGCCAGAGGAGGAAGGAGCTCAGGATCTTCTGCATGACAGGGCATTGTGATGATCTATTGAGAAATAGAGAGAAAGTATGGAAAATGTTTTGGGTATTCTTGTGTTTGCTGTAAAATCAATGATTAAAAGGGCTAGTAAAAAGTTTCTCTGGGGGCTGGGAAGGTGGCTCAGTGGTAGAGTGCTTGCCTTGCATGCATGAGGCCCTGGGTTCAATTCCTCAGCACCACATAAGCAAAAAAGGCCGCAAGTGGTGTTGTGACTCAAGTAGAGTGCTAGCCTTGAGCTGAAAAGCTAAGGGACAGCACCCAGGCCTAACTGGCAAAAAAAAAAGGTTTCTCTGAAACATAAATAAAACTTGGCAGTGATGTTGATGGCTCACATCTGTAATCCTAGCTACTCAGGAGGCTGAGATCTAAGGATCATGGTTCAAAGTCAGCCTAGGAAAGAAAGTCTGCAAGGCTATTATCTCCAATTAACCACTCAAAAGCCAGGAGAAGTATGGCTCAAATGGTACAGTCCTGGTCTTGAGCAAAAATCTAAGGTATAGCACCCAGGCACTGAGTTCAAACCCCAGTACTGGCATAAACACACACACACACACACACACACACACACACACACACACATTAGTTCTGGTTTTCCCACTTAATATATATTATAGTTTTTAAAACTAAGTTTTCTAAACTTGGATTAATAATAGGAAGAAGAGTCATAATGGCTAATCCTGAGCAAATACTCAAATATGTATATAATGAATCAATGAATGAGTCTCATGACTAGGAATGGAAAGTTTCAGCTTTTGGGAAGGTTAGCAATAAAGCAACTATTCTATTTAAATATTCTCTTATTCCAACTCAAAGAATCTCAGCTGTGAAGGAAGGTTATAGTTGAAGATCTAGAAATGTTCTCATTATTCACAAAAATGTCATCTTTTGTGGAAATAACTGCACTTAACACTAATAAAAGGCTAATAAAAGGCTTTTGGCACTTAACACTGCCAAAAGGCTGCTGGAAAAGCTTTTTATATTAGCCAATTAAATTAACTTTAAAATAACCAACTCAAATTGCCATCATTTCCTTTCCATCCTTTTTCCTTTGTTTTTTCTTTTTAGTATTACTGGAGCTTAGAACTCAGGGTTTTGCACTTGCTGGGTAGGACTTCTACCCCTAGAGCCAGGCCCTCAGTTCTGAAATTTTTTTTAAATTATTTTTCCAGATAAAGTCTCATGG